AGGGACTACATTTTGTGTTAATACAGGATGTCATTAGAGGCACAGACACATTGGGAAAAATATGGTTTTTTCAAGCACAAAAATCCAGGAGCTTCCAAAGGCAGGGAGCCATAGCCAGGCTCAGAGCACGAGTTGGTGCCTTGTGCAGCAGGTGAGACCTGGGCAGCCCCTCACCCCTGGATGCTGTGTGGGCCAAAAGCTGAAGCAAGCTCAAGGTGGGGCTGGGAAAGCCCTTGGAGAGTTTGAGAGCCACTGCAGGCTACTGGCTCAACAAACCACTGAGCTGAGCTGAGCTGAGCTGAGGAGCCCCTTGAGCACACATTGGTCAGAGGGTGGGTGGGACAGTCCAAAGGGGAAGTGTTGTGGGTGCTGCCTTGTTCCTGCTCCTGCTGAGACAACTGCCCTGGCTTTGAGCTGGAGGCAAGGCTGTTCTTGATGGGCCCTTTGTCTGCACCCATAGAGCTGCCCTTTTACAACCAATTTCTTTCTGAATGATGGGAGCCAGCACTGACATCACTTGAATCAGATGCACTGCAGCAAGGCTGAAGGAAGAAGGAGAAGGATGTGTGGCTATTTTTGGCATGTGAGGCACAGCTGCTTGCTGTCTTCTTCTCGCAAGTCAGGAAGGGCACAGACTGGAACAGGAGGTCAAAACTCTCTTAGCATGTCCTGTATTTCTTAGTAAATGGACTGAAACCAGAGAAAATCAGCAAGATGACAGTTGTTAGATAAACCTGGGCTTTTTTTAGCAACTTTTCTGAATGTTGTGAAAACTTTCTTGTGCACAGGATAGTGTATTTAACTTACAATTGCATTTCCTGTATCTTGAGAAAGAGCATTCTTGAAGACTAGGATGGATGGAGGCCATCTGGAAAACACTGATTTCATGTACATGATTAATATAGTGGATATGATGATTTATGTGTGAAGCAGGTACCTCTTTAGCAAAGTTAATAAAAGCTGTAGTCAGTGAGCACTCATAAGCTTATATAAAGCTCAAAATTATGAATAACAATAGAGGTAAAATTGTCACTAGAGAAATACGAGGGATAGCAAAAGATGATGTGTGTGGTAACTAGGGAGGAGAAGATACACTGGAAATGGTGGAGGACTAAAATTACCTAAAACACAGAACAGGAAAGGGGATTTTAGCAGAAATTCATGTTGTTCCAATGATATATAAGTTCAAGAGGACAGACTCAGGAAAGGTACAATGATCTTAGGAAAAGGACTTGAAATGATTTGCTGTATATTAAGGGTTAACTATGGCAAGCAGCTAATCCCCATGCAGCCATTTGCTGGCTCACTTCCCGCACCAATAGGATGGGAGGGAGAATCAGAAGGGTAAAAGAAAACTCATGGGCTGAGGCACAGACAGTTCAAAAGGTAAAGCGAAAGCCACACACACAAGCAAAGCAAAACAAACAAGGAACTTGTTCACCAGTTCCCATGGGCAGGCAGGCATTCAGTCATCCCCAGGAAAGCAGGGCTCCATCATGCATAACAGTGAATTTGGAAGAAAAATGCAATAAATTTGAACGTCCTCTCTTCCTCCTGCTTCCCCCAACCGTTACTGTTTGGCATGACATCATGTGGAGTTATGGTTTGGAATATCCCTTGGGTTGTTTAAGTCAGGCTGTCCCAGCTGTGTCCTTTCCCAGCTTCTTCTGCTCACTGGCAGGGCAGTTCAAGAAGCAGTGTAAGCACTGCCAAGCTAAAACATCCCTGACTGTGGTCACAAACCCAAAACAGAGTCCTAAATAAGCTACCACGAAGAAAATTGCCTCTATACCAACAAAACCCCATACATATATATAAATGGTAGCACCTTTCAACAAAATGAAAAAGCTCTATGACACAAAGATATGTGGAGTCATACAAAAGCAAAAAAAAATACATAGAATTCACAGTATCACAGAATATTCTGAGTTGGAAGGGACCCACAAGGACTATCAAGTCCAATTCCTGGTCCTGCACTAGACTGAGAATCACACCATGTGCCCAAGAGTGTTGTCCAAATGCTTCTTGAACTCTGTCAGGCTGTGCTGTGACCACTTCCCTGGGGAGCCTGTTCCAGTGCCCAACCACCCTCTGGGATAAGAACCTTTTCCTCGTGTATAACCTAAACCAGCCCCTGACACAACTTCAGGCCATTCCCTCAGGTTCTGCACCTGGTCACCACAGAGCAGAGATCAGTGCTTGCCCTTCCACTCCCCTCAGGAGGAAGCTGTAACTGCACTGAGGTCTCCCCTCGGTCTCCTCCAGGCTGGACAGACCAAGTGACCTCAGCAGCTCCTCACACAGAGCTCCTCCTTCACCATCTTCATTGCCCTCCTTTGGACACTCTTGAACAGTTCAATGTCTTTCTTACATTGTGGCACCCAAAACTGCCCCCAGCACTCGAGGTGAGGCTGCCCCAGTGCAGAGCAGAGCGGGACAATCCCTCCCTTGCCCAGCTGGCTGTGCTGTGCCTGATGCCCCCCAGGACAGGGTTGGTCCTCCTGGCTGCCAGGGCACTGCTGGCTCATGTTTAATTTACCCCAAACAGGATCCCCAGGTCCCTTTCCATGGAGCTGCTCTCCAGCCTCTCATTCCCCAGTCTGTCCATACATCCAGGGTTGCCCCATCCCAGGTGCAGAATCTGGTACTTTCTCTGGTTGAACCTCATACGGTTGGTGATTGTCCGGCCCCCTGATTTGTCAAGGTCTCTCTGCAGGGCCTGCTGGCCTTCAAGGGAGTCAACTGCTCCTCCCAGCTTGGTATTGTTTGCAAACTTTCTTAGTATCCCTTTAAGTCCTGCTTCGAAGATGTTTATGGCTACTTGAAACCAATGAATACCATAATAACTGTACACACATCTTGCTAAATTCAGTGAGCATCTGACACGCAAAGCAGCGCCAGAATAGGGCTCACAGTCACACGATGGCTCTAAGACCAAGCAATGCCCAGTGCGGCTAAACCTGAAAACAAATTGTTTTCCAGGAGTATGTTTGGTATCTATGTTTGGGATGTGTGAGATGGAGGCCATATATCTGTACGTGTATGGTTGTGTCCTTCACCTGGGGTGAATAACCCCAGCACTGGTATGGGTTAGGGGCTGACCTGACTTCTCTGCGGAGAAGGACCTGAAGGCCCAGGTGGACAGCAAGCTGTGCGTGAGCCATGCCCACACCCATGTGGACAAGAAGACTGATGGAATCCTGGGATCGATTAGGAAGAGCATTGCCAACAGGTCAAGGGAGGGTATCCTGCCCCTCCAATGAGCCCTGGTAAGTCACACTCACATCTGGAGTGCTGTGTCCAGTTCTGGGCTTCTCAATACAAGAGGGACATGGAGCTCCTGGAGCAGGCCAGTGGAGGGATACAGTGATGATTAAGGGACTGGAACATCTCCCCTGTGAGGAAAGGCTGAGGAAGCTGGACCTATTCAGCCTCAAGAGAGACAACTGAGAAGGGGACATTATCCATGCTTTTAAGTATCTGAAGGGATGGTGCCAAGAGGATGGAGCCAGGCTCTTCTCGGTGGTGCTGAGCAATAGGACCTGAGGCAACAGGCAGAAACCAATGCGCAGGAAATTCCACCTGCATATGAGGAAGAACTTCTTTACTCCGTGGCCAGGGGAACAGATTGTGCGAACACGTGGCGTCTCCCTCACTGGAGATACTCCAGAACCATCTGGACACAATCCTGTGCCACGAATGACCCTGCCTGAGCAGGGAGCTTGGACCGCTGTGGTCACTTCCAATGTGACCGACTCTGCGATCCCTCGATTCCTTTTCCGCCTAACTTAGGGCCGCAGCCCTGAGGGAACCGAGCCCACACAGACCGACAGCAGTGCGCGGGCGGAGCCCGAAGGGCCCGGCTTCCCTGGGGCCGCACCGCACCACCCTCCGGAGCCGGTCCCGCCCGCCGCCCGCTCCTTCCCCAGGGCGGTGGAGCTGCCTGGGGCCCGCCCCCGGCGGGGAGTGGCCGGGCCAGGGCCGCTTTCCGCCCGCTGCGGCCGGGGCCGGGATGTGGCGGCCGCAGTCCCGGCCGGGCGGTACCGACAGGCGGCGCCGCGGCGGCGGGGACGCGGCGGGCCCGGGTGAGCGGGGGCCGGGGCAGCGAGGGAGGAGGCGGGGGGGTCCGGCCGAGAGCTCCGCAGGAGCCCCCTGAAGGCGCCGGGGGAGTGGGGCACCCCTCTCGGGGCCGGGGCTGGCAGCGCTGCTCCCCGCTGGAGGGGCCGGGCGGCTCGGCTGGATATTGCCCTCGGGCTGGGAGCGGCGGCAGCTCTTGGGAGTCGCGCTGAGTGTGGGGCGAATGTAGTTGTGGTTAATTTTTTTTTTTTTTTTTTTTAAAATCTCTAAAACCCCATGGATGTTTCATTTCAAAGTCCTAAAGTTTTAGGATTTGTTTTAGCTTTCTATTTCATTTATTTATTTATTTACTTATTTTAAAAATTATTTGTTTCTTTATATTTTAAAATATTTAATATTATTTATATAAAATATATTTCTGTTATTATTTTTTATATTTTTGAGCCCCTGGTGATGCTGGCATTTATTTTGCAGTCCATAATATTTCACAGTCTAAGAAAGGGTCTTGCAACTTTGAGATAACTTCGCTATCATTTTGTTAACTCAGAAAATAAGATGCTTTGGTTTTGCTTCAGCCCATGTGAGCGCAGTTTTAGTGATATGGGGGTATCAATGGTTTATTTGGTATCCTTTATTTGTTTACTTTTTTTAATAGCTAGCTGCAAAGAGGGAAGTAATGGTGCTCTTAGAAAAGTCACCTGCATTATGTCTCCAGTCGTGTCTTAAGGAAGAAAAAGATAGCTGCCTTCTCAGTGGACACTCTGTGTGTATATGCTTTTTTAAATAAATGAATTTTATAAGACTGTGACCTCTAATGTGGATGAACTGCTCTCCTTTTCTCTCAGAGCAGCAGCAATCAGCTGGTCTGAGCTAGGGCTGCCCTCCGTATCAACAGTGGTGCTGGCAAAAGGCTGGAGCTCAGATTCTGGGGAAAAACACCTTTTCCAGGAGAACTGGGAAACATGTATTTCTCACTAGGTATGCCTGCTCTCTTTTGGATTGTTTAGGATTGGTGTTCTCCCAGCTCCATGTGTCCACCAAGGCTTTCTGCAAATGCTTCAGTCGTCCTTGCCAACAGTTTAATAGAAAACAGCTCATTCCTGTTTTGGTAATCCACATTAATTTATGCGTACAAGTGCTTGAGTAACTTCTTCCTATGCTTTTGAGTAGCAATTTAAGAGTTCTGCAGTGAAGTGCTTTTTATACTAGTAAAAATAAAGGCTTTCACAAAATATGCTGCAGAAGGTATATCAGCAAGTGCTGCTGCTAGTTTGAAGTAATGACTATTTTCAAAGAAATGAGTGAAGTTCCCTGGGATGAATTATCTTGTTTTGTCCTTTCCTGTTGGTTCATTTACTTGCTAATTTGCTATTGGCCTTACAGTAACTCCTGAAAATGGGAGAAGTTCTACTTATTAAAACTTTCCTTGGTGTTTAAATACTGAAGTCCCTTTAATGATGTTGTAGGGTGTTCCCCTCTCTCGTTGCTGAAGTTGAAATTGTTGCGGTTCATTCTGGGAAAGGCATTGACAGTGGTTTTCCAGTTGAAACTACAGTACATTTTTCATTATTTGTAGGGCTTCTAGGCCCTTATGAAACTGCAAAGTAGGGGTGTTTAAAATAAATATTTGATTTAAAAGAAAACAAAAGGATGAGTTTAGTGATTTGTGGTTACTGAAAATATTTGGATCGTGGCAAGTTGAAGGAATGTACGAGAACCACCAAATGCTTATGTGCATTGTTTTATATACTTGAGATTAGGACCATATCCAATATGTCTTTTTTTATTCCCAGTGCTTGATACTATCAGAGTTATCAATTTTCTTTGTAGCTGTCTTTGAGATTGGGCACTGAAAATGGCACGTTCTCATACGCATCACTAATGATTACAGCTCAGCAGCACTCTAGAAAAACAGTCAGAGGCAAGTATTGTATTGCCACTGGCTTCCTCCCTCTTTAAATTTAGATAAATCATCGTTTGTTCTCTTCAGTGAAGTGAAGTCAAAACTTTGGGCCTAAGCTGCTTCTGGTGGAATTGTAGTGGGTCCATGTAAGAAAAGAGGATTTATTAGCACCAGGATAAATTAATTGTGATGAACAGGAGGACAGAAAGCACTGCAAACAATGTTTTGTACTGACAAAAGCAAAAATCCTAAAGGTTAATTCTGACTTTGTTCACAAATTAGGCACACTTGGTTAGGCTTTTTTTGCTCGCCGTGGCTTGGGCCTTTGACAGCTACTGAACCAGCTGACCTTTCAAGTGCGATTTGCTTGAGTGTGTGACGCCTCACGAGTGTTCCTTAGGAATTACGATTTTTTCTTTTCCCATTTTAGCGTTGTGTTTCTTTGAGCGAGCCCCTCTTTCTAATTGAGCTCAGACAGGCTGTGACCTTTTCTGGCTTTGGCCATATTGCGTATTAATGATTCCTGTGGAAAGGAGATTTCTTACCTCCTTTGGAGTATCGGCCTACAAGGTGAACGGGAAGGGACCTGTGGAGTTGCCATAGTGATTTCCAAGTTCATCCTTAGCATCTTGTGTCTTTTTCTAGAAAGCAGCCCTTTCATGCTGCGTCACTTAGATTAGGCTTGAACCCAGGGTACGTTGTAATACTATTCAATATTCTTGAAGGAAAACTGCTGCAAAACCCTTATGTATTCGGAATGAATGCGCCCTTTGTAAACCAGCAGTCACACGACGAAAAACTTGGCCCTCTGGCACTGAACAAAGGCTGCTGTTCCTATTTTAAGCATGGTAGTATCCTTATTTGAAGGTGTCTCCTTAATTCTGTGTAGTGTTAACTAATACACCATGTAATTTTCTTTTTTCTTGTTCTTTAGCATATAGGTGTGGATTCCATTAAGAGCTCACCTGAAAAATGCTTTCAGGGAGAAATATTTCTTTATCAAGCCTGCAAGCTACTGATGCTGTGGGAGCTAAGATCCACTATGGACGTACTTTGTTTGCTAAACATGAGTCTTCTGTATGGAAATTGAATTAGCTATTGACATGGAGTTACTTCCCTATTTATTGATGCTGAGAATGTGAAGTGGCTTAATGAGTAATCTGAAGTCTGCAGGCAGAGGGGTGAGATCATGTGCTTGCCTCAAGTAGGGTTTCTTTGTTTGGTGTGATTCCTTTGGGACTCGTAGAATTTGGATTCTGCCTCCCCTTTGTATGTACTGTAAAACGCTGCTCACTGTGTTTCAGGCCTTCCTTCATCTCACAGCCAAGCTTCCTTCCAGAACACCTATTATCTCTGTGATATATTTCTAATTGGGACCCAACTGTCTAATGAGTATGATCAGTGGCACTTGCTGATTTTTCTCACCCCCTCCTCCCTGCCTCTCTTGCTGCCTTGCAAATAGGTGTCTTAGTAGTGTCACCTTGGTGTCAGGGTAAATTGTCCTGTTACTCTGCTCTTTTTTCCCTCTGTCACTCTGTTTATTCAAAACACTGACAAGTGTAAAAAACCCCAAATAAATTAGATTTTACCTTGAATAGTAAATATTTACAACATAAATAGCTGTGTACTCAGAATAAGGGATGGAAAACGTTTTCTTAGTACTGCTTTAGCTAGCTCCTTTAAAGTTGTGTGGCCTACCTGTGTTTATGGGTTGAATGAAAGAACAACCAAGCCAGAACTACAACTGAATAGAAATTTGTTAAACACACTGTACATATACTTAGATTATAAAATCTCCTTGGGAAAGAGCTGTGTGGGAAAAGTGGCTCCTTGAAATTAAGAGCAGAATGGATGTGACGTATGTGACCTTTCTGTGTTCTCTGCAATGGCTGAAGAGTTGGTTATTTGGAGGGATGTAATGCGCCCTTGTTGAAAGTTTTCCTTTGCTGGGCTGAGAGGTCAGTGGGACAGGAAACCATTACAGAAGAAAATATCTTAGTAGGGAGACTCTGAGGCAACCTGTGGTGTGAAAAGTCAAGAGATTGATAGTGAGTATTGTAAAACTAAATAAAATGAAAGGGTTAGTATCTGGGAGAGAGACAGGAACTGGGAGTTGATACCATTAGATTTTTCTGAATGGTTTTGAAAGTCTCCAGATCTGTGTAAGCTGAGTCATGTGGCATTGGTGTAGCTTTTCAAGACCTTGCTTGATGGTGAATAATAATAGTGATGGAATATTAGAATCAGATAATGGTGATGTTTTGAATGTGTCTGTAGATAACGAAGTTTGTCAATGGCTTCACTACTTTACTGATTAAGCTAAGGGTGAGCACTACAATCCCTAGCTCAGCTCACCTACCTGACAGCAATTTGAGTTTAAATCATCAGTCTGATGATGGTGAAAATCATCGGACTGGTCTGAAAAATATGCTTTAAGCAATAAAGGAAACCATTTTTAATGTCCTTTTGTTTTGTTTTTGGGAAGCCAACAACTCTCCAGAGAGCATGGGAAGGGGAAGAATAGTTTTTTTTCATGATAGTAAACTGCTTTCTTGCTGTTTTAGTGGGATACTTAAAGTGTTTTGTTTTTGTTACGGTAGTAAGCGTTCTTCCCACTGACAATCCAGCTTAGTCTTATGGGTTATCATTACTGCAGATATGCAGGCACTTGGAATGGTGCTGGGGGAGGCTACTTGCAAGGCCAAATGCTTATAGCCACAGGCTTTTCCTTTATGTTATGGCTGTCTAATTCTTGTGGTTGGTTGTTCCCTTTCCTCCTCACGTAAATGTTCTACTTCAGGGAAACACCACAAGGTTCAGAGAAGGAACATCCCTGAGCCTGTTCAGGGTGGTAAATTGAGGTAGCCTCAGCTCCATAAAATATCTGACTTTTTGTTGCAAGAGCTAGGCTGATCATTTAAACTTAATTTCCCCCTGTTGTTAGAGAGCATGGCTTTGGGGACAAGAGCTTTCCATTCTCTGTGAGGATTTTGGACAAAGATAGTTACTGAGGCGGGAATGAGGTTGAATTTCCTTTTGCTGGTCTAGGTTTCAGGTGCTTCCTGTTGCTAATGGCCCGTGGAGATCGCGTGATGGAGGGAAATGGGCAGCACAGCTGCTTGCTGGGGCTTGGCTTTTCCCATTTAATGTGCAGTGTATTATCCCGTCGGTGTTTGCACTAGCAGCTCAGGCTGAGCTGTGGCTGGGTGGCATTCCCAGCTCTGCTCCTGAAGAGCCATAGGCACACCAGTCTCAGGAGGGCGTGATACACAGCTGCTGAGTTTGGTGATATTTTACATTGCTGTAGTAAGATTTCCTTGCTGTGAACATCTCTCTGGTTGCTGTGTCTCCAGTGGGAGCGATGTGGTGATATCTGTGCTTCAGCAGTGATGTGGGGTCTCAGGGGCATGAGGTGCTCTTGCACACCTTGGATGGTCCCAGGCTATGCTGCCACTGCAGTGGGACAGCACTGTTTTAGCAGGTCTGAAACTTTGCTCGTGTCCTGCCAGAACCCTTGCTTAGGAGAGCAGGACATTTTAATCTGCTCAGAGCAGGGAAAACCTTGAGGAGACCCTCACTGAAACTGTGTAAGAAGGATCTGATTACTGTTGCCTGGGGTGCAGGACCAGAGCAGCTGATCCTCTGTGTGGTTTTGCTCCCAAAGTAGTTAATAATCAACAGGTGTTGTGTTTCCTTTTCCCCTGGGGAGCCTGCACATGGTCATGGTGAGAGAGCTGCTGTAGTGTTCCCACACTTGTGGTCTGCTGGGGACTTTTACAGACTTGGCTGTGAGAGAAGAGCTGCTCCAGTTAATGGTTTCCTCTGAGCAGTCCCTCGGAACTGGATGTCTGCTTCCTATGGAATGAAGATTAGTGGAAAATCCAGTTTTGTCAGGGGGTCTCAAGTTGCTGTAAGGTAAGAAAAGATCAGCTTCCACTTCTTTTTTTTGTATGCACTGAGCACTAGCAATATTGTGTTCTTTTAGGTGGTTGCAAATTTTCCTACTATGGTGACAGCTTTTGCCAATGACAAAATTTTCCATGGGATCATCTGTTCCAGGGTCAAGTTAGGATCC